TGATGCGAAACTAAGAAAAAGGAAAGCAAATAATACAAGAAAGATAAAAAATAGAATACGAAAGTGACTGTCAGCGCCATCTCTTGAGTGTCAAAGATATCTACGTAAGAATATTATTAAAAATTTATTATTTTTATTTATTATTTATCAATTTATTATTTATTATTTTATTCTACATTATAAAAGATATATATTGAAAAAATAATATCTCCATTTTTTTTATATTAAATATTAAGATATATTATAATTTTTTAAAAAGGAAATGATAAAAATGCTGTTTAATTAACATCCTATTGACTGTGATCATAAAATGTAGACAAAGAGAGCAAATAGTGAAAAAAACACAGAAATAGAGTAAAAATGAGGTACTCAGCGCCATCTCTAAATTGATGCGAAACTAAAAAAAAGGAAAGCAAATAATACAAGAAAGATAAAAAATAGAATACGAAAGTGACTGTCAGCGCCATCTCTTTAGTGTCAAAGATATCAACGTAAGGATATTATTAAGAATTTATTATTTTTATTTATTATTTATCAATTTATTATTTATTATTTATTAATTTATTATTTTATTCTATATTGTAAAAGATATATATTGAAAAAATATCTTCATTTTTTTTTTATATTAAATATTAAGATAACATAGAGATAGAGTAAAAATGAGGTACTCAGCGCCATCTCTGAAGTGATGCGAAACTAAGAAAAAGGAAAGCAAATAATACAAGAAAGATAAAAAATAGAATACGAAAGTGACTGTCAACGCCATCTCTTGAGTGTCAAAGATATCTACATAAGAATATTATTAAGAATTTATTATTTTTATTTATTATTTATCAATTTATTATTTATTATTTATTAATTTATTATTTTATTCTATATTGTAAAAGATATATATTGAAAAAATAATATCTTCATTTTTTTTTTATATTAAAGATTAAGATAACACAGAGATAGAGTAAAAATAAGATACCCAGCGCCATCTCTGAAGTGATGCGAAACTAAGAAAAAGGAAAGCAAATAGTACGAGAAAGATAAAAAATAGAATACGAATGTGACTGTCAGCGCCATCTCTTGAGTGTCAAAGATATCTACGTAAGGATTTATATGCAAGATAAAGTAAAATTATAAACAAGAAGCAGAATAAAAATGATATCTTACAGAATTTTGTATTTGTATCAAAAAACATATGAGTTACTATGTGTAAATAACATATTGATTTAGCAATTGTTTTTAATATTACAATCATTTTTTTATATCAAACCAATAATCGCTTGTGACAAAAAATGATAACAAAATGCTGTGATACAAAAAAACATTACACGTTTATTCTATATATCTGTGATATATATAGGATTTTAATCTTAACTGAATACTATATCGATAATATTGAAAACTATTAAATGTTAACGGATTTATTAAGAAATGCTCTCATAATCTAATTGCTTTTTTTTAAAATTAATATTAAAAGAAATTCCGTTTATTTTCAATAAATATTGCATATCAAAATGATCATAATTATTAGAAATAAAATTTATCTTAAAGATATTATTAAAATAACTACACAGTAGCGACATCTTACGTGTATGGAATTGTACACATATTATTATTTTCAAGACTCAGAGTATTTCTGAAGGGTTGAGGTCCTCACGATCGCAAAATGGCACGCGGATAGTAAGAATTATCAAGAAATATAATAAAAAATATACACGGCGAACGATCGTACTGAATAACGATGGCGTCGGCTTACATTAAAGATGAACAAGGTGATAAATTTCATTTTATTTAATTATTTAATTTATTTTAACTATTGAATTATTTATAACCTGTAAATGTATTTATAACATGTAAACAACCTCCATTTCACGATAGTTAAGTTAAGTTCTAATATTTACCTATCTTCAAATTTTTAATAAATATTAAAAATTACAATAAGAAACACATGATATCTTGAATAAAATCTAATGCAAATAATATAATAAATATATTTAAAAGATATATTTATGTTCATTCATAAAATTAATTATTATAAATTTTTTCATAGGTGGGACATTTATTCCTGCCAGTCAACGTCCAGATGGTACATGGCGTAAACCACGTCGTGTCAAAGATGGTTATATACCACAAGAGGAAGTTCCACTGTATGTATTTATAAAAATATATTAAATTTTTCTTTTTGATATCATATATCATTTATCATATATCATTTCCTTTCAGATATGAAAGCAAAGGTAAACAGATAAAAAATAAACCTATATATCCAATAGGTGCAAGTCCAGAATTTATAGCAGAGCATAAAGCTAAACAGGAAGCATTACTAGCAGCAAAATCTAAAACTATTCCTGGTGCTTCAGTTAAAACAGAAGTAAAAAAGAAAAAGAAAAAAAATAAAAACAAAACAACAGAACGTATAACGGAAGAATTAGCTAAAACTACTCTTTCAGAATCAGATCAAAAGAAAGAATTATCATCACATAATAGTAAATTACAAACCAATATAAAAACAATATCTAATAATCAAACATCAGTTCCCAAATCAAATATCCCAACACAATCTGAAATTTCAATACCAGATCCACAAAAAAGGTTGAAAAATTTAAGAAAAAAAATTAGAGAAATTGTAACATTGGAAGAAAAGATAAAAAATGGTTTGTTAAAAAATCCTGAGAAAGAAATACTTGATAAATTAGCAAGAAAAGCTGAAATTTCAAAAGAAATAAAACGATTAGAAGCAAGTCAATAGAAAGAAGAAGTTGAAAAAAATATATTTACTTATTCTAATGAACTATCACTTTATAGTTGTACCTAAGCAAATGTGTGTTTTTCAAATTTTTAAAAATTTTAATATGATCTTATGTAATATCACTTTCTCATCCTCTTTATACAGTAAATGTATAGCAATATAAAAATGTACATTTATATACAGAAGATAAAAATTAAATACTAATGAATTTAGTATGCTATAACATCACTATGTGAAAGACCAATCAGATTTTAATAAAAATTGTTTTTGCATATTATATGTTGTTATTTATATAATAAAAAATACTCTATGTAATATTATATATATTCACATTTCTTTAATTTTTACGTCACGTATGATAAATTTCTTTGAATATAAATTTCACTGAAGTACTAGGGATTTTATATGCTGGACATACTGACTAGCTTTATTTTCTCAATAGTTGCTAAAATTCTTATATTACAATATTCTATGTTTACAAATACTCTACAAAATTCTACTTACTTTTAGAATATTATACGTGAAAAATGTGAAACATTTGTAAATATTTCAATAATTTTCGTTTTTTGTTACATTTTCAGTCAAGTCCTTGTATTTTTTAAAATGAAGATTATTGATAATTGAATATACAAATTAAAAAGAACATTTCATGATTGACTATAGCTGATTGTAATAATTAATAACGTCAAATTAGTTGATATTCGATGCCTCTCGGCAGTAAACCTGAATGTGTCAAGTGTGGGACTCGAGAGACCCCGCTTTGGCATTCAACCGAAGCCGGTAACCTTTGCAATGATTGCCTAGAAGAAGAAAGAATTTCCGAAGCAAATTCAAATGTAAAAAATGAAGATGAAGATAAAGGAGGATCATTAAAACCTACTAGAAGAAGCACGAGAATTACAAGATATTGTAATTCTAAATCAATTCCACATAAAATTATACCGAAGGGTAAAGGAAGAAGAAATTTATTCAAAAAAACTGTATGTTTTTAAATTTGTTAACAATTTCAAAGAAAAGAACATTTTATATTATTTTCTTTTTATTTTTCAATTTAGCCAGTTAAAGCGCCAACAGCTACAGCAACCCCTGTTACAAGTAATTATGTATTTTATAGAGGCACTTATTTTCAAGTAGGTGATATAGTTTCTATGCAAGATATTGATGGAGGAATTTATTATGCACAAATTCGTGGTTTACTCACAGACCAATATTGTGAAAAAAGTGCTGCTGTTACTTGGCTTTTACCTACTAGTGCAAGGTAGATTATTATAGATTATTGAAACATATGATTAAATTGTTAATATTAAAATATCGTAATATTAATATTGTTAATATTGTTAATATTATAATATTGTTAATATTAAAATAAATTGTTAATATTAAAATAAATAATAAAATTATTATATTTTATATATAGTCCACCACCTGATGAAGGATTTAGTCCTGAAACATATATTATAGGACCAGAAGAAGATCTTCCACGTAAATTGGAATGTATGGAATTTGTAATGCATGCTCCATCAGATTATTACAAATTAAAAAATACATCATATCCACCACCACTTACAGAAAGAGGTACTGGATATATATGGACTACACTTAGAAATGAAATTGTTACATCTAAAAAGTAAATTTTTGTTTTTTAATTTATTATGGAACTTTTTATATTAATATATATATTGATTGATTGCTTATATGTATAAGAATTTGGTGTTGAAATATAAAACAATAATTAATGTAAATATATATAACTAATAATTTTTAAGAAATGAATGTTTGTCATGAATAATTGTAATATTTATTATATCATTTTGTTTCATACAATATAATTTTATTATTATTATTAATAAATGGAAGTAAATTACTATTAAATACAAATAAATTAATACTAAATATACTATTAAAAAATAATAGTAGAAATGCAACTTCTTTAATGAAATTATAAATAATAATATAACTTTTGTAATTAATAAAATATATTTTTTAGATTTATAAATTTTTTACCTTTTTTCTTTTATATATTGAACATAATACTTCCAATAATTCAAATTTTTAATTTTAAAGTCAGAGATAAATAACTTTCTTAAATTATATAGTACAAATCCTCTTCTTTGAAAATCTTCATTGATTAATTCTGTTGAGATGAAATATCATGAAGAATAATTTGTGGATAATATTGATGCATTTTTGTTTGCTTGAAGGAAAAGGAAAAAAACCCTTGTAGTATTATTTTCATTTGGAATTATAGTTGAAACCAGTCAGCTTGGAGCCAACGAAGTAACGGCTGGTCAGAATTTAAGATCTTTTATAGCTTGTGGTAAATCAGGTAACTTCATATCCTTTATCTGTTGTGGTATGTTCATATTCTTGACAGCAGAAACAGCACGCGCCGGCGCTGCTGTGATTCCTGCCTGCACATACCATGGATGGAAAAAATGGAAAATGGAAAATATAAAGGGCATTTGAATTTAAATTGATTAATAAGAGTAAATACAAATAAATAACTACGCAATACATATTTTATTCTTAGAGCATAGCGACGTATACATTTGCATTAAGGCACTGTTATCGAGCAAACATTTACAAACGATTTAGCACCATGCGTGTTATGAATATTTATTTTGTAAAGCTTTATGTTTCGAAAGATTTGTTTCGAAATTCTTGGTGAAAAAAAAGAAATCAGATAAATTACATAAAGGAATGAATGCGTATAAAATGATTTGATTTTTTTTTTACTGCCGATTTACTTAGGGAGGGGGCCCCAGAAGGACAAACGGACGAGGTGAGCAAGATCGTCCTGATTTGTAAGTTCCCTAAAATTCATGTTAGGTCAATCAGTCCTACCACCATATGAAATAGCTCTACAAAACATTCCAATGCATGCACAGCTAATGAAAAAACTGCAATAGGCTGTTAACACCTTCAAGCCCAGAAAACTTCTTAATATTTAATGCCTTTTTATATGAGTTTGTTTTATTACTTCAAAATTTAAAGAAAATAAAGATAAAATAGACTCAAAATTTAAGGGATGTTTACATAAATTAGTTAATTAAAACTATGATTTGGTAATTTAACCACAGTGCATTGCTATATTATGTACAAAATTTGTTATCTTTAATATCTATGAATTATATAAATAAAGCTATAAACATAATATAAACATACAACATATATATCAATATTTCTTAAATGCAAATTATAAAATATCACTTACCTCTTGTTTTTCCAATTTATTTTGATCTTCAATTCTTGTAAGTATTTCAGTCATATTAGTTTCCAAAACCATTCCTCCCATCACTAATTCATTAAGTATATAATGAACTTTATCTACATGAAAAATAAGATCAAGTTCACATACATTTTCAAAACATTTATCCAATGTTTCAACAAAAACTTGTATTAAATCCAAAATTCCCAACTCTGATTCTGAACTATCAACACAAAATACAAAATATAACGTAGCATAATGTCGGTAGATCAATTTATAATCAGATCCACCAATTAAACTTCCACCTTCTAAAAAATTACAAACATTATCATCTCTCTTTGAAACTAGTTGAAATGTTTCCTTTATTATCTGTTGCTGCATATCCTCATTCTGAAAAAAAAGAAAATTTATTCAATTATATATTAGATTAAATAATAATAAAATTTAATTATTATTATACTTACAAAATATTGATAAAATTTAGAAAGTCTAGGCTTTCCATGATTATTAAATACTAATATAGCCTTAATCATGATTGATAATTAATTAATAAATTAAAGACTTTTATAATAGAATTTTATAATAAAAAGAAAGATAAATGTTCATTTACAAAGATTAGTCAGAAAAAAATTTTCTTTTTAACATTATCAAAGAAATTCATAGTAATAATAACATTTAAGATTAACATTTAATTATAAGATTAAAGCAAATAAATATTTCATTTTACAGCTATCTATATTTATACATTTTTTTTTTTTATTTTTTTTAACCTTTTTATTATTATTATAAACAATGTGATGTTATACTAATAATTAACATCAATAATAATATTATATATAAAATTAATTAAGAAAATAACTTAAAAATCATAGTAATTAAATCCAATATGTAACAAATGAATTATTTATAATAATTTTTTATAAGAATTTCAGTTAGAAAATCAACAAATTCATGAAACGAATACGAAACATGGATATTAAAACACTACAACCATCTAACGTGAACAAATAGAACTAATCATCAAGTAATAAAATTAAAAAATTTAATTTTCAATCTAAATTTTTTGACTGTTCAAATTTAAACTTAAATTCAAAGAAATAATTTGAAACCAATTTTGTCAAAATATTTCTTCTTATACGTGCTTAATTAAAATTATACAAATTTTTAATATTATATTATTATTTATAACAATTATTATTAATGTTACACTTAGTTTTATTTTATATTAAAATGACAATTTTAATAAATTTTAATTTTGATAGTAAAGTAATAGAAGGGCTTTAGTATTCTCTGAAATATGTGATAAAAAAATGTATCGAGTGACAGATCTATTTTATATTTTATATGTGCTATTATAAACGAAATATTTTATTTGTTATCTAATAAACAATGAAATTCAAGTAATTAACACTAGATGGAACTATTCATGTAAGATCTGATAAACCATTTTGATTTCTGTATTCTCGAAAGCACGAAAATCTGAATTTTTCTATTTTTATAGTATCTACTTTAATGTGTCATTAGATTTCTGCGTTATGTTTCGATAAATCGTAAGTGCAATCTTACGAAAAAAGTAAATGGAGTATTATCAAATGCAGCGTAACATTATCATTGCATTTCAAAGGTAAGATTGTTTACAATATATTTAATTTACAATCTACTTATTTAACTTTAATTTTAATTTTTATTTTTGTATCAACTAAAATTTATTAGAATTCAAAAAGATAAATAAATTTTATATTATTCATTATAATATATTATATTTATTATATTAATATTTCTTGTCAAATTTATGTTTACTTGATATACTTAAATATAATTGAACTGTCATTTCTTATAAATATTATAAAATTTATATATTTATATATTTCTTATTAAAAACAAATTATTGATAATTTTATTGAAATTCTAAAAATCTTGATCTTTGCATTTCAGAATTTTTTTTTGTATTTAAAATTATAATGTTTGAATTATATCCATTCATTTCTAGAATAAACATTTATTTCATTTAATAATATCATCATAAAATATATTATATATTAAAAAAATAATTAATATGATTTTATTAAATAATACATTTTTAATAAAATTTTTAATAAAAAAAATTCTCTATCATTATAGTTAGAAAATGAAAAAATAATTTTATTAAAAAATGAATATTATTAAAAAATGAATTATGTGTTCTTAGATGGACAAATTGCAATTATTGCCATTGGAATTGCCATCAACCACCAATATAAATAATGGAACAGTGAAAGGAAAAATATCATTTGTTCGAAGATTAGCAATGGGATTTGTGATTCTGGCTACATTAGGTTTATTATATGTACCAGCATATCATTCTGCCCAAGGTCCACTTTTAGGCTTAGGTGAGACTCCATCTCCTGCAAAGCATATTGGTGTTTCACATTTGGTAGCTTCAGTAGGTATGCATTCACTAACATTGCTAGAGAGTTTTATTATATTATAAACTAACAAAACTAATGATATATATAAGCTTGCTTTCACTATTCTTCTTCTAATTTAATCAAATTTAAATTTTAACTTTTTGGATTGTATTAATATAAATTTAAAAAAAAATATAAGGATTACATAAATAGATATAGTTAATATTTACTATATTAAATATTAAATCTTTAATAACTGAAGGAAAAAACAAATATTATAATAACAGATATAGAATGGATATTTATTTAATTGTATTTATAGAAATTTATATTAAAATAGAAATAAAAAATAAATTTATATAGTAAAAAAAGTATTAGTTATATAATTTTCCTTTTTCTATTTTATTTTAGAATGCTTAAGTGATGCTAAAGTAAAATAATTATTTAATTTTATTAAATAATGGCATGCATAAAATCAGATGTTAAAGGACAAAATTTTATGAATTCAATTTTCTCTAAAAATTTAAAATAAAATATTTTTTAAATAAATAATTTACAGCACAGTTGCCAGGTTGGACATATAATACTTCAAGAGATCTTTCTGTATATATTCATCCAGAAAATACAACTGCAGTTTTAAATCCTATTGGTATATGTTCTCCATCACCATATCTTTTTATAATTATTTGTTCAGCTGTTACAAATATCAAAGCACGAACAGCTATAAGAAATACATGGGCTAATAAAAATAATTTAGATAATATATATAATTCATTTGTGAAAATAGCATTTCTTTTGGGTCAAAGTGACAATGATACACTTAATGTATGTATCTATTTGTTAAAAAAATATTAATAATAAATATTAATGAATATTAATAAATATTAATAAAAATATATTAATAAATATTATCTGAATAAAATATTAAGTTATATTGCAGAATATAATAGCTGAAGAAAGTCACCAATATAATGATATTATTCAAGAAAAATTTTATGACACATATAACAATCTTACATTGAAATCTGTAATGATGTTAAAATGGATAACATCAAATTGTGGTCAAGCAAAATATCTGATGAAAACAGATGATGATATGTTTGTGAATATACCTACTTTAATGAAAACCTTACAATCAAGATCACAAACTACTGATATATTATTAGGTTCTCTCATTTGTAATGCCAAACCTATTTTAGATCCAAATAATAAATGGTAAATAATATATATTATATCATATCATATTATATCATAATATATTTATATTATATATATAATGTAAAATAAGTCTATATATAATCTAAATATGTGTTAATTAGGTACACACCAAAATATATGTATTCAGAGAGAATATACCCTAATTATTTATCTGGTACAGGATATGTAATGAGTTTAGATGTGGCATTTAAATTATATCATGCAGCATTAATAACACCATTACTTCACTTGGAAGATGTTTACATTACTGGTCTTTGTGCAAAATATGCAAAAGTGCGACCTGTAAATCATCCTGGATTTAGTTATGTTCCACGTAAACTGGATCCTTGTGTATTAAGAAATGCTATTACAGCACACAAAGTGAATGTGTCTAGTATGTATATAATATGGAACAAATTGAATGATACAAATCTCTCTTGTAGCAATCACACTCATATTGATAAAAAATCAGTTACATTAAGTAGAAATAGTAGAAATATTTGATATTACATAATAAAGAGAACTATTAACAAATGTGTTTAAATTAATTAAAGTTTTTTAAGCATTAAATATGTTATTTATTATTGATTTAATTACTTGTTATATCAGAATAATATTAATAAGTAAATTAATGAATATTCTCTTATGAAAATGATGAAACAAACTTATACTAAATTTATTCATGAGATTTTTGTTTTTAAAATATGACAAGAAAGATTTGTAATTAATATTTGAATAAAATTCTACAGATTATTTTTCCATTTAAAAAGCAATAGTTTTTAAGGGAATCTGTCAATTAGACTTATTCTACGAGTTCATTTTCTTATTTATTTATAAAAATCTTCATAATGAAATATAAAATATCCGTTTGATTTTTAATTTAATATCTAAATTATGAAACATTTATTTTATTTATTTTATTATCAAATATCATATATCAATTGCTTCCATTTGATCAAAAAATTGTTGTTTAACAAATTTTAAAAAAAATATTTTATTTATTATTTAAATTTGATAAAAAAAGATTAATATTGAGTAGTAATAATAATTTAAATACATCAAATATGTTTATATGATAAATTAATCAGGTGTTTTTGACACCTTTTTGCTTCCTTTAAAATCACATTAATTTTAATATATATATTTAATATTTAATTCTAATTAAAAACTTATTACATTCAATATTGATATTATGATATTAAATATTTGTGATTAATTATATATTTATATTTTATGTCAAAATATAGCACTTTATAAATATTTTAACATTTTAACATTCTATGTTAATGTAAAATATTTTATAAAAATAATTATTATGATAAATCTTATAAAAACAATTCAGATCTTTAAATGATAATATTTATCTTACTAAATATATTATAATTAATTAAATATAACGAATCGTAAAAAAAATATATAATATATTATAAGTGTATTAAATTACACTTATTGCCTAATGAAAAGAAATTTTTTTGAAATAATGACTTCTTGATATTTCTAAAAAAATTATAAAAATATATATATATATTTTTTACTATTTGTATTTATATATCACCAGTTGTTCTTAATAATTATTTCTTTAATAAAAGTTTATTTCGTTTAAAATTTATAAATTTAAAATTATATTATTATTTTATATTATTTTTTAATTATAATATTTTTTCATATTCAAATATTATAATAATTTTTAAGAACTATGTTGTAATTTCAATTTTAAAACTTTTTTGTTATTTATTAATAACAAAATATATGCTTATAATGCAATAATTATCAATTAATTGATATTATAGATCTCAAAATCTCAGTAACTCAGTAATCTCAGTTGATTTCAATTATTAAAAGTAACAAATTCATCCATCCAATTTTAAATACATGTATTGTGCGTAAAATACAACATTGTTAAAATCGTATTATGATATTTATTTTAATATCAGCGATATATATTTAGCTATCATGAATTTGTGATGTAGCTTATTATAAGTTGAGAATATATGAAATTTTGTAAAAATTTGTTAGAACGTATCAATTAATGATATTTATAATATCATTATTAATAATATTATTAATATTTTATATTATATATTATAATATTATATATTAATAATAACGATAATCATGTTTCTTGTATTCTAATTAATCGAATTGATTACCATTTTATATGATACTTAAATAATTATATATATAAGAAGAAACTACATTTCTTGTTAATTCTAGTGCAAATAATTAATGCACCAATGTTAAATTAATTATTAGCTCCAGGTCAATACAAATTCATATTTATGAAGCTTATTGAGTGAGATTTGTTCACTAAAAGCAAAATGAAGATTATTAACAACTTTACTGGAGTATTCTAGTGGCCTTAGAAAATCTTATTTTATTTTATATATATATTGTCTTCGAAAAATTGAACTTCGAAGTTCTATATCATGTTATGAAATTTGGTGCTACATAGTAATTAATCATATCACCGGATATACTTTTGTACAGGTCATTATTTGATTTATAGAAACTAAGTTTTATACATGAAAAAATGTTTTTCTTAAATAAAATCAATAAATTTAAATAAGAAATTCTTGTTTATTATTTTTTTTTTTTTTTTTGAATGAGCTGTACATAAGTGCATACGGTTTTAATAAATTTAATGATATATTTATCTCTACAAATTCATATATATATAAAACTGATTTGTTACGCGCGTCTATTGAATTATAAAAAATAAATTGTGTCTATAAATAAATTGTATAATAAAAGAAAATTATTAATGAAAAAATATTTTTTCTTTTTTTTTTCCTAAATTTTTCTTTTTTGTAAAAAAAAATAAATCATTAGTAAATGTTGTAAATAATATTTCATAAAATTTTAATTAATAACAACATATTTACAAAAATATTATTCATATATTTAAAAAATAAATACACAGTAGATATTTTATATCTATTACAAGCTAATTATATTCTATATAAATATTTATATACAACTATGTTATTATAAATGATTTTATAAATATTTAATTGCAATAATTTTTTTATTAGAAATTTTTTTATTGTTAATAATGTTACTTTTTTCATTTTTCTTTTTTTTTTTTTTTCTTTTTCAAAGGCTCAGTTCTATCCATTATAATATTATTATCCATTATTTTGTCTGGAATTATTTGATTTTTATTTTTAATATTTTTTTCAGTTGATTCTTCAGTATTAAAATGAACAGCTCTTAAACTTTCTGTTAACTTATCTAATTTAATTTTTACTTTTCTACGTAATTTTGCTTGTTTCTTTTTTGCTATTCTAATATTTAAATGTTTCACTTTTTTTCTAAAATATGTATCTGAAAAATCTGAAAAGTTATCAATATTCATTGATGAATTTATTTCATGTTTTAAAGGTATTTCATTACAAGAAAGTTCTGTTTGAAATTTACACTCTAAAGATTTGATATCTTCATTTTTAATTAACTGCAAATCTGAATCAATTTTATGTGATCTTTTAAATTTTTTTGCTTGAGAACCATTCAATTCATCATCTTCCCATGTATTAATAATATTTTTACATTGAATATCTTGATTTTTTTTCTTTAATTTCTTATCTTTTTTCTTTTTTTTTTTATGATTATTTATTTGTTTTTGAACATTTTTTTTATTTATTTCATCTCTTGAGCTTTGTTCCACAAAAATTGATGAATATTTTTGGCAATTATCTATTTCTTCAGATTCATTATCTTTAACATCATAAGACATTAAAATTTTTTTTTCTTTTTTTCTTTTTCTTTTTCTACTTTTTTCTTTTTTTTCCTCTTTTGATTCATCTTTTATTATACCATGTATATTTTTTTCATCACTATCACTTACATTACATAAAATATTTAATTGATGACTCAAATCATTTATACGTCTTCTATTCTTTCTTTCAGTAGTTTTACATTTTTTAGGAACTAATATAGTTTCGGATGTTATTGGTAATATTATATTTTCATCATTAATCTTTTCATATTCATTATTTTGAAACATATTATTACTGCTTTGTAATTTTGTTGAAATATTCATATATGAATTTGAGTTTAATAAATATTTATCTTGTTGAGCTATTCTTTTCAATTTTCCATTTAATGTTAATCCATGTCTAGCTCCTTTATGGGCAGTTCTACCATTACATATTTTAAATAATTCTTCATCTGTTAAAGAAGCATGATTAATATTTTCTTCAATATTTTGTTTTTCACATATATTAGAATTATTTTCTATTATTAAATTGCCATTAAATAATGTAGAAGTTTTAAGAAAATTTTCATATTTAAATTCTTTTTTATTAATATCTTCTTTAAGAAAATTATCGGTTGTATTTTCTTTTGGAACAAATATAGAAACTCCATGTGTTTGTGATTGAACTGTGATACTATTAGCTGCTTTATTAAAAGCATTCTCCCACCAATTATTATTATCTTCATTTTTGTGTCCTATTCCTGTTGTATTAAATTTTAATTTTGGTTTCAATGCTTCTGTAATGCCATTTTCATGTTTCCCTAAACCTTTACCTATATCAATAAAATGTAAAATAAGATCTTTTAAATATATTTTATAAGATTGTTTTAATTTAATTATATAAATATATATATATATATTTTTTAGATTGCATAAATTTATTTAAATACATTAATTTAATAATAAATATTAAAATATAATATTAAAATATAATATAAAAATATATTTTAAGAATGTAATATAAATAAATCAAGTTATAAATAATTTTATTATATAACGATATTATTTCTAAAATCATACCTTCCTTCCACCCATACTTCATAAGCTGAGACTTTGCAAAATCATTCATATTTAAACTTTTGTTATTATAATTGTATATAAAAAAAATTTAATTTAGCAATCTATAAATACATCACAATTTATGAACGATACACGTTTTCGTTAACTATAAGTATATAACATTACTAGTAATAAAAACTATATTATTTTTTATACATTATACACATTGAAATTTTCGTAATACTCGTATGATGGCGTTATAATACAATAGTGCATTATCATATAATTCATAAGAATTTTGTCCAATTTTAATATTTAAAATTGTCTTTTTTAATATATTTCATCTTATCATCTTAGAATAAATTATTTACTACTAATTTGAAATTTTTTTGTCTATCTTAAAAAAATCTTTTTATGTTCTATATATATATATATATATATATATTGTATATATATATATTATATATATTTTGTCAATGAAAAAACTGTAAATATATAAATACATTAAATATGAAATGATTATTATTTTTAAAAAATGTAATCAATTATATAATATTATATACATATATATACATATATATATTTAATGTACAAAGTTTTTATTTAATACTAAAATAAAGTATATCAAAAATATATATTATTAATGTGTATATATACATACATACGTTATAGTTATTATAAAAAGGATGTTCAAACCTTCAGAAAATTTAGCTACTTATCTATGATTTGACGTTCATTAGCCAACAATAAAAAATAGTTTTATAATATGTATTTTGTCTTAACATTAAATTTTTTATATTCGCTATGATAATTTTGCGTGTCCCACCATTATACAGCGAAATTTATTCGAAGCAAAGTACTGATATTATTCGATGGCAAGGAAATAAACAGTTTTAAACTGTGCACTTGATGAAATACATTTAATATTAACAGTGTAATCAGAATATTCAAATATATTAAGAAAAAGACAAGGTTTGTGAATTTTATACTTTCATGAATATTTGTCATATTTTACGAAATTTAATGTTTTTTTTTTTATCCAATATCATTGAAATAAAATATTGTAATTTACATAAAATAAAGTTTTTATATAAACATTTTAATTATATATTTATTTATTTTTAACATTTAATATTTATATATAAGAAAAATAAAATTAAAATGAATATTTTACATTAATCAGTTAAATTAATTAAACTACGATAATTTTTTTCCGTTATATTGTAAATTTTTATCTTTATAAATATAATTTGTATATTATTATTATTATTATTCACATTTTTTAACATTATTATATATTATTTTAGATACATATTGATTTTAAAAAAACAATGGCATTACGTGAATTGGTAGAAGGTGACTGTGGAGGACCTAGCTCTTTAATTCATTTGACATCACATTTTGTACGTGATCATGGATTCAAAGACGAAGGAATACATCATCCTTTTGAACATGTGGAACCTTTTCAAGCTTCAGATTCAGATCAGTTAGTTAAACAATTTTTAGAAGAAAATCCTTCATGTCCTCAAACATTTAGAATGGATAATTTATTACAAGAAATGCGTGAAATTGATCAAAATATTCATCCACCTATAGCAGCACCTGGAGTTGCTCAAGAATTAACCAGTTTAGATACAGCTTGGGCAAATCAATATCTTGAATCAGGACGTCATTTTAATGTAATTCTTATTTTATTAGCATAATTTGTATATTAGCAGTTTTTTTTTATAAAATCAAATTTTTATTATTTTCATTTAATATAGGAACACCATGCTGATGATATTTGGCATCCTGAAGAAGAAAATAATTCAAATATTTTAAATAATCAAAAACATGAATTTGGATTAGGACCAAAATGGGCTGAAGAATATATAGAACATAGTATAGATGCTATACAAAGCAATATAAATATAGAAAATCCAATAGAAATAATAGAAAACAATGATAATCCCAATTTTGAATATTCAAAATTTATGAAATTTATGAAACAAGAAGGAGAAATCCCTATTGAAAACAATCAAGATTCACTGCCAAATTTTCATGATACAAGTAAAAAATGGATTGAACAGTATAAAAAAGATAATCAAAAATCTGAAGATACAATTTCTTCTATCAATCAAGAAAATGAAATGATAAATAAAGTAGAAGAAGAATTAGCTGTTGCTGGTAATTGGATAAATGAATTTCAAAAAGAAAATGTCTCTACAGGTTTGTAAATATTTTAATATTAATTTGATATCTATCAATTCCTAATCATATTAATAATCATTTTTATAAAAAATAAATTTTAGTGATAGAAAATTATGAATCTACATTTTTGAAACTTCAAAATGAATGGGATAAAATTTCATCTGAAGAATTATCTTCCAAGCATCCTTGGCTTTCAGAATATGATAAGTTTTATGATCCATTTAAAGAATATGAATTTCATGAAGAAAATCCTATGAAAAATTTATCTAATGCATTAAAAGAAGGTAAAAAAAGATTGGAAGCTGGAGATTTACCAAGTGCCATACTTTGCTTTGAAGCAGCAGTGCAACAAGATGAAAATAATTCAGAAGCTTGGCTACTTCTTGGTAAAACCCTAGCTGAAAATGAACAAGATCCATTAGCTATTTCTGCTTTAAAACGTTGTTTAAATTTGGATCCTTCAAATGGTTCTGCTCTTATGGCACTTGCAGTTTCATATACAAATGAATCTTATCAAAATCAAGCATGTATGACTCTTAAAGAATGGTTATTAAAAAATGAAAAATACAAGCATCTTTCAATACAAAAGATTAATAATGAGCAACACATAAAATCCAATATATCATCTATTTTGTTTGAGTAAGTAATAAATTTAATAATGCATATAATAAAATATTTTATTAATTTTAATATTCTATTTATTTTTTCTAGAGATGTTCATGAAGAAGTAAAAAATCTTTATATTCAAGCAGCACGAATGAATCCATGGAATGAAATAGATGCAGATGTACAATGTGGATTAGGAGTACTTTTTAATTTATCTAATGAATATGATAAAGCTAGCGATTGTTTTCAAGCGGCGTTGCAAGTGCGTCCTCATGTATGTATTAAATCAGTCTTTCTTATGATAGAAATTAATAATTAAATATATTATCAAAAGCATAATATATTTTTGAAAGGATTCTAGATTATGGAATAGATTAGGTGCAACTTTAGCTAATGGTCAAAAATCAGAAGAAGCTGTAACTGCATATCATCATGCTTTAAAATTATCACCTGGATTCATTAGAGCTCGTTACAATCTCGGAATTTCTTGCATTAATCTTGGTGCATTTAAGTAAGTAAAATTTTGTTTATATTATGAAATTATATATTTTGAAATTATTTATTTCTCTATAGAGAAGCAGGCGAACATCTTATAATTGCTTTAAACCAACAAGCTGCCGGTCGTGGAATTCAAGGCGAAAATTTTCCGCCGAAAACAATGTCGAATATTATTTGGTCAACATTAAGACTTGTTATTTCATTAATGCACAAATATCATTTAAATGAAGCTATAGAAAACAGGTAAAACTTAATATATATTTTTTAATAAAAATTACTAAATTTTGTTACATAAATAGTATTTTTGATTGTTTCAGAGATCTAACAAGGTTAAATAAGGAATTTGAAATTGTATAAAAATTTGTTGAACTCGTTTGTTAAAAAGTATAAATCCTTTTTAACTTAGTATTTAAGATATAAAATAAAATGATTAAAAATATTTTTCGTAGTTCAAAAATGTATATATAAACAAAAATTAAGATTATTATTAATGCTATTATATAACTTCTTTGTTATGATATGGGATTGACTTAAACATATTAAAAAAATTGTTTTGAAAAATATTATTTAATAAATATCAAAACATTATTTTGTCATATATCTTTTTTAATAGGTAAATAAGTTTTTACTATTTTATTTTATATAAATTAAAAGAGATATTATATATTATTAAATCATATATATTAATATGATAAAATTATTATACAATTAATAAATAAAAATTAAAAATAATTGAATCCTCAAGAAAAATATTAAATAATTCTAATTAATAATAATTCTAAAAATCAAATCATTTCTTTCTTTCTTCTTAAATAAATAAATATTTATAAAAATACAATTACAATAATTTAAGAACAATTAAAGAAAAAGTCTGTTATGAGTTAAAGTTATATATTATTTTTCTATTATAATTTATAAATATCATAGATCACTTCTAACATAATTACATTAGATTTACATATATATAACAAAGAGAAATTAGTCCTAAAGGCACATCAAAGTTACATATTTTGTAACATTTAAAAAGTGATGAAAATACATTATAGGATCAACAAATATAATAAAAAGTATCTTAATATTTAATTTCTTAAACACATGCCACCCCGCCCTTAGCGGTTAAAATATAAACAATTTTTAACAAATTCTTATAAATATTCAAACAGTAGTCAAAAATACAATGATCACTACTACAAAATTTCTTACTTCAATATATAAAGCAATCTATCATATTAAATATTATATATAACACTGTAAAATTTTAATATCTATATGCTTGATTTTGTATAAACTTTTCATAATTATGATTCAACTATTTCATTAGCTAAGGGAAAGATAACATACGTCCAGATATAATATAATATATCTATATAGAACATTTCAACAATTAATAATAGTGAATTAGTTTTATCTATAATATTTGTTTTTAGTTTTTGATAATTTGTTAATACAACTTTATCCATGAAAAATCTTGCATAATTAAAATTGTAATAAAAATCGAATATTTTAATTAATTGGATTAAGAAAAATATATAATTTCAAAAATATTATATAAATAATAAAAATATATTATAAAGTAAATTATATATCTAATAATGATTTGTAAAATTATAATATAATGAATGAAAAAATACATATGTAAGTAAAAAAGTGAATCATTAATAATCAAAAAGTGATCAAAAATAAAAAATTATTAAAATTATTTCTAAAAGTCAGGTAATTTTAAGCAAAAATTTGTAATCCATGAAAGTTATCACATGAAAAACTATTGTTTTCAAATTCGATTAAGTACAATTCATTTCAAATCTATTTTTCTCTATATATAATTTTTATACAACATAATTTCTTGTTGCATTTAAATTTTTCAGTTTTTTTTTTTATAAATAAATTAAATTGGACCTATCGTCGTCGAAATTGATCAGTTAAAATTATCGCTCATAATTTTAATGTCGATAAAAGTTGTTGCCCAGTTTCCATTATTAACGATTTAACATGTTCGGCGTGCATAATTTGATTACACATTTCATTGCATTTTTGAAATGTTATTATATCATCTTTTGGAAGAACACGATGTAGACTTTTTAAAGATAATGTATGTGGTAGATAATTTAAAATTGCTAAAATGAAGAGTCTATTATAATACAACTAATATAAAGTATACTTTAATATAAATATATCAAAAATGTTTACCTTTCATAATTTGCGTATATAAACATTGCAATTCTTGTCGAGTGTTTGTTGTAGAAATTTTATTTTGTGTTAGTTCAATTAAATACTTCCATTCAGAATCTTTAGTATATGTATCCTAAAAATTGAAACACAATCTTGTGAAATTCTATTGTAAAAAGAATAAAAAAATATCGTAAAAACAGTAAAGTAAGTACATTGTATCATTCATTTACTGAAACAATAGTATAACAAAATTTTAAAGAATGCAATATTCAATATTTTCAATTCTCAGAAAATTATTATTATATTAAAATTTTAAATTTAAAAATATATATATATGTTTATAAAATTCTACAAGTAAAAGATATAAATACTAAAAATAATTCGTTCTATATCAATAATAAAAGATTGCAAATTTTGAAATATTATATTATTGCATATCATATTTCAAACGAATAATATACATATGAAAAATATATTTAGATTTATTTACCTTCGCATATTGTATAACTGCTTGAGGACAATTTTCCATTAGAAGTGTTGTTGTTTCTTCTGTATTTTGAATACATAACGTTTTTAAAGATAAACTGCCATGAATTTCTTGTGTTTCAAGAAATTGTTTAACTTCGTATAAACACTCATTTGGTATAAAATCGCAAGATAATACAGATTGTAATTTAAACAATTCTGTTGGTATAGTTTTTTCAGAATCAGTCTTATCGATATCAACTAAATCTTGTAAATCGCACATATTCAAAACTTTTTGATAATCTTTCGCATATGGTGGCATCCCGTTTAGATAATGAGGTCTAAATTTGACAAATATGAAGTTATCATAATTTTCTTGCATATTTTCTCTATTTTCTATTTTGTATACTTTAGTTTGAGTTAATTTGCCTAAGTATGATCGTACTAATAACTTAAATGCTTCAACAAGAGCAAAATCTGTGCGTATTTGATTTTTATTTATAACAGATGAGTCTATAATCAATTTTGTACTGAAGTAATTATGAAGATATTTTTCAAGAAAAATTTGTAATGTCATTGCTGCATTATGTCCATCCCGTCCTACTCTTGACGGCAAATATTCTAAAAATACCTGTATAATTTGATGAAGAGATAAAATTCCATCGTCTTCTATTAATTGTATTAAAATTTCGGCAAAAGTTAAATTTTTTTGTCGCATTAACATTCCAGCAAAATCCGAAAACGTCGGAATCATTGGACTTCTTTTTTTCATAGCTGTCATATCAAACAAAAGATCCCAATGTTCTAAAACTATTCGTTTGATATATAATGCCGAAACTGGCTCAATTATTTTTTCTGCTTGTTCCTGTTTTTCAGCTTGTATATATAAGAGTGCTAACGCTAATTTAACTAACTCATCTGTTTCGTATAATAATAAAAGATGGATTAATTTTTCGGTGGTATATTCTCGCAATACAGGACTACTGAAAATCAATTTCAGTAAATCCGATTTTTTCAATTTACATATCATTTCTACAATATTAAATCCTTGAAACAACGCATCAGCTTCTGAACCACTTTTCATTGTAAGAAGAATATCTGTTAAAAAAGTAACGAGTCCCGGAGCATCTTGACTTGATTTTCTAGATAATACTTCTGAGGGTTTTAATCCTGACATTTTGTAATAAGGTATACAAAAATCCCAATCCGATTCATATTCAGAACGAATATAATAGTCTCCAAGCAACGCGCAAGATTGATTATATAAATTTTTCAATTTCAATCCATTTTTATTAGCGATATCGTCAAAATCATTAATATCTAAGCAATTGTACACAGCATCTTTAGCTAAACGTATCAAAGCATGAGCCTCCCCTAACAAATGTCGGTATGTACTAGGACTGGAAGATTTATGATTTCTTGCTGCATTTAAGATATCATAATATAAATTTTCCAATTTAGGTAAAATTAAAGAATACAAAGTCCAAGAATTTTCAGCTTTGGCTAAGAGAATTAGATAATTTTTGCTATGTAATAGTTTTTGTATTCCTAAAAATGGTCTTAATCCGATTAGACAGACTGGCTCAGAGATATTAGGACATGTTACTCTTAAATTTTCTAAATTATTTGATGTTCTTGCAATATGATGAGATAAACGTAATGTATAAGATTCAAGACCAGCTTCGGTCAATGCATGCAAAGTAGTATGTTCCAATGCTACTTGATTAACAGGTGCAGTAAATGGATAAGTAGTTAAACAAGTTACATCTGTAGGATTTGAACTAGTAGCAGAAAAGTGATAAAGATATCCTTCTTGCAAAGTGCTTAAAAAGCAACTAACACCTTGCAAATATGTATATTTATCTGATCTAAGAATTGATTTTTTCAAATAAGAATTATTACACTCTTTTCTCATGTATAATGGTTTTAGTAAAGAGCAATTGAATACTTCAGAACTTCCATCAAGTTTATTATTAGCTGCTATTATTTTAAGAGATAACAAATTTTTTATTGTATAATTTTCTGACCATCCTAAATCAGGAGAATTTGTTTTAATTATAATTCTTATATCTGATGGATTTAATATAAAAGGACTTAAAGTATGTCCAGGTCCTGCTCTTTCTAAACTTATAGATGGCAAATTAATAGTCAAGGGTTGTGAATTTCCATCAATAATTTCTTGATCAATTAATCTTTGTAATTCATCTTTTTCATTATATATTAAGTGATCCAAATTTATAATATTATCATTATTATTAGATTTTATTTTTCTAAAATCTCCTGTCTCTAGTTTGTTCCATATACTTATTTTAGAATTTTTATGCCTCTTACTTTTAAATTTTGTGCTTATTCCACTAGAATCATTGTTTTCTGATAAAATGAAATAAGGATCTTGATTAGAACTCTTACATTTTGAATTTGCTCCTTGCAATATTATGTTATCATCTTGATTATTCATATTATTGCTATTTTCTGCAAGAGAGGAATCTGTGGATATAGATGTTTTATCAATAGATGAGGAATTTGTGGAAGTTAAAGAACTCAATTGATCAATATCCTCATACATTGAATTAGTCAATCGGAAAACACATAAATTTGTCTTATCCATAATTAATATGAAATCTTCAATAATTTCCATATGTGTAGGAGAAAATGAAAATCCTAAAGACCATGGTCTTGCTTCAAAATCTATAAACTTCATCTTTGATACTTGCTGTGTTTCAATTTTGAATTCATGCAGAATAGCACTATTTCCTGAAGCTACAAGAAGATTACCAGTACTTTGACAGCAAGCAATTAATGTAGGCTGTATGCTTAAAGGTAATTCTATCATTTCTAAACTATTCAATGGTCGATTCAAACTTGGTGTAACACGTCCTGCTATTCTAGCACGCATAGGTTGACTTTGATCTTTTACCATAGCCCAATTAACATAAATTCTAACAAAATTATTAATTGCTTTCCCTGTATGATTATTAATACTTGCATCTCTAGATAATTTTGATTCCAATGTTACAACATAATCTTCTTTGGTACAATGTATCATTTGATTAATCATATCAACTGTTGGAAAAACAGTATGTAATTTAATATCAGACATCATCAAATCCCAAACTTCAATACAATGAGTTGATAATGCTAAGAGAAGCATTTCACGTCCAGATGCATTTGCTATACAGCTTGCAGTTGGTTCTTCAATTTGAGTGATGTTTTGCCCCAAAAAATTATGTACTGTGATTACACGAACCATATTGATTTTTGTATTAAATATTCTTTAAACATATCAAATTTATGTTTTTAAAAGAAAATTATGGATATTTAGCTAAAAGTATCTTTTACATTCATTTACTTATACATTTACTTATACAAGTAAATTGAACATAAATCTTAATAATTTATTTATTAATTTTAATTTATTAATAATTTGATATTATTTTAAATTTAAATTTGATATAAATATTATACTTTTTTATATTATTATATTGTGAAATTAAATTATATTTAGAAGTTTATATTATAATGTATTTTTTGAAGATTAGCTTGCATTTTTAAATTATTAACATAAAAATTATTTGTAAAATATATAAAACGATAAATTCGTTATTTTTTTCGCAATTTTTTTCGTATTTTTTAGTATAATGAGATATAAAATTAAGCAAATAAGAGAATATAAATCAAATATTATTTTTTTGTTATTTAGTATTTACTTAGATTACACAAATATAAATATTAATGCATTCAATGATGCATGTTTTGACATTCTTTTATAAATTCATCTTTTATAAATTTAACATCTTTATCTTATAGCAAATAATATTGAAAATGATTAATTATGTTGAAATATAAGAAAATCACTTTAATTAGTTATTTATAAAGTTAACGAACACTATCATATTTTATACATGATTTTACATAATCTAAAAACACTATGAATATCACAAAATAGAAGAATGCAAATACAGTTCGTTCGTTTGACAGATCTTTTAATACGCGCATGTACATTAATGGTTAGAATATACCTAGTCGTGCTACTTACGCGCCCTATTAATTTTTCTCCGTTAATACAATACATAATATTTTAAATAATATTTAAAATAATTATGAAATAAAAAATTCCAAAAAACAAAGAAATACTTCAAGAAATAATTAATGAAAATAAAAATAAATAATATAATTAGAACATCCAATACATATTAATAATCTATTAATAATCATTTAATGTATATCACTTATAATTCTATAACAAATTAAATATTAAAATTATATATAATTCATTTTATAATCTTTATTATGTCAAAAATTATACATGCAATTATATTGATCTTAATTATATTGTACAAAAATTTCAAAATGTTAATTCTCTTATTTCATAATCTTATATTAATATGCTAAAAATGTTATTGTCATAAGATATAAAATATTGTAAAAATATATATTAAATGAACATATAATTCAATTATAATTCAATTATGTATTATTTCTAATAAAATTATGACAATGTTCAGGAAATATTATGATTCTAAATTGATTTCATTGGCATAACATATATAATAGTAAAATGTGAAATACATCCTACAAAATTTTAGTTTATTATTATAATTATAATTATTTTGTTGAGATAACCTTCTCAATATGACTTTTTAAAGTTTCTAGTTGTTTCAAAGTTTCTGAATCTAATGCAGGAATATGTGACATACGTAATCCATCATTAGGTAATAAGGACATAACATTCCCATCACGCAAGGGTACATTAATGTTAGCAATATCTTCTTGAATAATTGCAGAAACTAATAAAGGACTACCTTGCATACTAAGAACCATTTCCCCTTGTCTTGGACGTCTTAATACATTTAATGGTGTATTAGGTTTTATTTTTGGAGTTACAAGATCAAATTCTTTATTTCCTGGTTTCAAAGTAGCAGGGGTTTTAAATTTATCAACTTTCATAGATTTGATATGTTTATCTTTTGTTGTTTTTTTTATAGTTTCTTGATTTATTTCACTAAGCTTCATTTTACTATTCCTTGAACTACTACGTGTCCTTCTACTAATAGCAGATTCGACTTTAGTAGCTCTTGATGTACGTGTTGTTGTTATTCCCTCGGTTACATATCCATCATCGGACGCGCTAGTAATTCTTTTTCCAGTTTTTTTTCCTTTTACTGTCATCGGAGGTACTCGTAGCGAACGATCATCAACGGATGACGAAATTTCATTACAATTTTCTTTTTCATTTTCATTATCGTAATTAAGTACTTCACTAAGTGTCATTTGCCGTATCTCAGCCGGAAGTCGAGATAAAGTAACGTCAACGAAAGTTTCAATACTTTTTATTGCCATTTTTGATTCTGCTTCCATTTTCGAAATTCGTAAATGTGCTTGTCGCTCAAAATCTTTAATTAATAAATCACTTTCTTCTAAAAATTCTTCTTGTTGTTTTGGTTTCTGAACATGTTTTGTACGCGGCATTTTTAGTAGCCGTAGAATCTAAAAATATAATTAAATTTTTTTTTTTGCTTTTTATCACGTCTCTTTATTGTCGTTTAAATAAAATTTGTGGATGTAATTATCACAATTTTTTATTTAGTCGACTTACATTGGAATGTTTTCGATTTCGTTTACCGCCGTTAATAGTTTATAATTCGATCAATGATTATAAAGAAATATAGAAAGATAAAATAATGGAAAAATATGTGTACCTTATAAAAAGAGCAACCTAGTGTCATTATTCTGCATTAAATTTAAGTGTTCAAAAATATATTTAAATTAATGTAATCAATTTAATTTAAATTATGTCACATTACAAAATTTTAGATTAGACGTTACAATTTTTTATATTATCTTTTTTATTTCATTCTTACAATTATTGAACTATAATATGAAGTATGAAATATATTTTACTAAAATTATATTATTCTATACTGAAATATATTCATAAAATGATATAATTAAAATTATTTTTATTATATATAACAATAATTATTGGATAAGTGACTATCTATATTATTCTGTCTATATTCTGTCCATATTTAGAAAAATTATGGAAATAGGAATTTTAAATGAAAAATAAAAATTTTAATTATAATATTTAGAATTGACAATTAATTTTAAGTAAACTTTTTATATGTATTCTCAATATTAACATTGAAGTAATTTCTTCAAGATTTGACAAATCTTTATCTTTCAAATATTAAAATGGAGAGTATTATTCGTTACGAAAAACCATATTCTGATTATAAACGAACTGAACAACAAGAAATGTTAATAGCAGCCCCATTGGATTTATCATTTAAAAGAGCAACCACAATGAATGGTATGTTACATTATATAAAATTTTTAATTAAAAAAATATTGTTAAAATTATACATTATTTTCTAAATTTAAAGATAACATTAATAAAAATATTTATTTTATTACAAGAGAATTGGCAAATAAACGTCCACAGTCAGTACGAACGGGTAAAATTCCATTGCGAACATCTGCAGATCGTTTCGTAACATGTTCTTTATGGTTAAGCAATAATTTATTGACTTCAATGGACGGATTTGAAAGTCTTGCACAAAAAGTTCTCGATGATCCAGAGCATCTTAGTTGGATCGATCTTTCTTTTAATAAGATAAAAGAAATTGGAGATGATATTATAAAATTTCCGAATATAAAAATATTTTATTTGCATGGAAACAATATTTCGAATATTAATGATATTGTTAAATTGAAAAAGTTACAAACTCTTAGATCTTTAACATTACACGGAAATCCCATTGAAAATCTTCCATATTATAGAGGATATGTTGTTCATACTTTACCACAATTAACAGCATTAGATTTTTCAGCAGTATTATCTACTGAGAGGAAAAAGGCAGCACCTGCTGGATTTTATAAAGTAATATATGGTAATACATGAATATAAAATTTTATTTTCAAGTTTTGTATTAAATACACGCTTTCTTTTAAGTATCATTACTTGTAATATTTTTTCAAGAATGTACCATTTATCTCGAGGTACTTTGACTCAACATTCTTAGAAATAATTTATTTCAAATCTACTGTTATATCATTGTTAAATTAACTCAAGATATGTACCATACAGTAGAAATTATTTGTTCTATTTAAATGTATATTAATTAACAGAGATAAAAAAGGCCCCATATTATATTACAAATTGAATGTGACAGCCCATGTGTTCGCAGTAATTTCTTTCTTTTTTGCGATATCTATATGTATAATGATTTTTTGTACATTAAATAATTCAATGTCGTCTGTGTTTACTGCGATGTTTACTTGATTTTTCTACATCTCTATCTCGAGATCGACTACGTGATCTATAACGACTACGAGATGATTTGTGACTGCCAGATCGCCTTCGTTGCGCCTTTTTCGGTTTTCGAGATCGTCCATGACTATGACTGCGAGATCTGCTTCTACTATGTTTTTTTCTCTTGGAATGCTTTGTTCCTTCACCTCTAGATGGTGAAGTACTTGGTGATTTTGAACGCCTATATAGTAATAAAAATGATTTTAGATATTTATATTATAAATTATATTTTATTATTTCTTTTTTTCTCTTATAATATACCTAGGTGACTTTGTTCTTTCGGGTGCAGCATGAGTACCGCTACGACTAATGAATCCACCCCAAGCATTATGATGTTTGGGCAGTGGTGGGCTAGGTGTGTGGCTATCGACATCTCCACTTCTTGCTTTGGTTCTTGCTTCCTGATATTGTCGACGAAGTTCTTCTACACGTTTTTCTAATTGTTCTGGTTTAACACGAGGTCGAAAATAAAGTCGTAATATACGACGACAAACATCTCTAATTGCAGATTCATTAACTTTAAAAAGAGAAAACCAAGCAGGTGAAGTAGGTAAAGGTAACTGAAGTTGTCTTGCTCCCAAATATACACATGCACAAGCAACAGTTTCTGGTTGATATCTTAAGAATACATCAGATCTTAAAGAATCATTCATATAATTCCAACATTGTTGCATCAAAGCATGATTTTTTTCATAGCCCAATACTTGTAAATACATAACAATTATTTTATGAGGATGTTTTACATGAACACAAAAACCTAATTCTTTTAGGACTCTTCTTTCAGATTTAATTACCTGATTTTTTAGAGCTACATAATTTTGATCAAGTATTACTGGTTGTATTGGCCTAAAAAAAAATTTGATAATAAATATTATATATACATATATAATTCTATAATATTAAAAATAAAACATTGTATTTACTTTTGGCTAGAAACTTGTTTAATATGATTAAACACATTAATAACATCTCTAATACGTCTAGGTGCTTCTTCAATTTTACTAGCTAAACAGATACAGCCCATTGCAGTTGTTTCCATATTATGTCTAACTAACGATTTACTATAATAAAATCGTTGAAATATAACTTGTCCTGTGGCCATTGCAACCTAAAGAAATAATAATGGAAGTAAAATTAATTCAGAGGTTATAGAGGTTATAACGTTTACAAACATTTTGTTTACTTGTGAAAAAAATCACAAACCTGTGGTAATTTCAATAAAATACCAGCTGTCTGAATTAGTTCACATCCTAATATTCTTAGATCAGTTTCGGTTTCTGCATCCAATCCATCTAAATGTGACGGCGTCGAGTTGAGTTTTTCTTCAGGTAAAAGACAATTTTGAAGTGTTAGTACGATTTTTCCATAAGGTTTCGTATTGCCTGTGATTGTATTTTTTGCCGGAGCCGTAGAATTTTCTTTTGTATTACTCATTATAAGTTTCACTGTTTAAACACAGTAAAAACTTTTTGTTCAATCACTTGTGAAAAAAGAGGTTAACCTTTCATTTCCTCGAATGAACCATACCTTCTCGAAGTATAACTTTAAACTTTAGTACTTATATATATATAAAAAAGTATAGTTCGCATAGAACTCGTTTCTTCCGTATGGCGCTACTGTCTATTTTTGATAATCAATTGTTTTATTCATTTTTGTCATTATTTTAATAAAATAAACGAGAGTAAATATTTATATTAAAAAGATTTCCTTCAAATTATTTTCAATATAATAAATTTGTATAAAAAATCTTATATATATATATTTAAACATTAAAAAATAATTGTTCGTTTGTATAATTTTTGAGCATTTCCGGTAACTAATTAATAGTTTGTGGAACACAATTGGGCGCGAATCATAATTGCTTCGAAAAGTTTGAAATATTAAGTGCAGTGTTAAAATATAGTGGTAAAAGATAAAAAAGAATATTGAAATAAAATTAAGATATCATATTTTTTTCATATTATCTTTCAAGAATATTTTTGATTAATAAATTTAGCAAAACATAGGTAAATATATAATATAATAATCGTTTAAATCGTTAAAAATTTAATTATAATTATATAAATAGATTTTTGAATATTGTTTGTTCATATTTTTTTACAGAATATTTAATTTATCAACATAATTCGGTATTTAGAAGCAACAACATAGCAAACTGGTGAGTTTTTTTATATTTTTTAATATTATTCTAAAATTTTATTTTTCTAATCGACAAATTATGCTATATATATTATATATATTATATATATATAAGATACTCGAATATTTCAAATTATAAAATTTTTTAGCCTTCAACATAGGATAGGAAAAAACTATAACGATATTTTGTTTAATTATATAATGATATATCTTTTTGTTATTACATGTAATTTTTTGTTTAAAAATCAACATGCATACAATTGCATTTTAAAACTTTAATAGTGTCAAATTCACACGAATTTTCAATTAATTAAAATTGAATTTTTTCGAACTTACAAAATAATAGGATTTTGCACGCAATTTTGTAAGGATGACATATTAGTGCAATTATAAATATATACACACATATATCAAGAAATATATATAATATAATACAATCGCATAACATAACAATTATTTATACAACGTATACAAAATAGTAACTTATAATGAAACGTAACGCAAAGTAAATAAAGAAATAACAATAGGATAGATATCATTTATATGTTATACACATAATTATATTTTTTATTTCTTCGAGTTCTTTTTTTAATTTCGGTCCCTATTTTTCTTATTACATACAAATTTTACAACTGTAAGTGAATGGAAAAACAGATTTCATATCGAGTACCTTCTTCGTTGTACTAATATAACCTTGCGTTTACATAATTCGTTATGCAGATTGAATTATTGAAATTTAAAAGCGCATTTTAATGCGAGGTATTTTGATAAATGTTCTGCTTCGTAAAATTAGTACGGACCGAAGTAGGAACAATTTTTATGATTAAAAATAAAATTATTATACAAATCATATTAATCGTATTTTACAAAATTTTTGTTTATTAATCATTAAAAATCGTATTATATTAATGTATTCATTCGTACAGAAAAGATTTATATCTCGATAAAAATCTTGTTATATCCATAAAGCAACTATACATACATGAAAGTTCTTGAAGTCGAGTGGTCTTAAAAAGTTTGAAAAAATAAAATTTCCAGCATTCGCGCTGTATTATTCCCTGTATTGTGCGATGCATATATATTGCATTTTTCTAAAAGATCTTAAAGCATATTATTGCGTTAATGATTGTCGGTAACATAGTAACTTGTCGAATCGATAATTTGTAATGATGCTTTGTACTAATTTTTGTCAAATTAGTTCGACAAATTGCCACATTATCAACAATTGTTGCCACAAAATTTTCATTCGTCTCATCTTGTCTCGAATTAGAAAATATAAATTCTACGATTTGCTGGTACGAATTAATGTAATGGGACTCGACCATCAAATAGGTCAATTGGAAGAGAACAAACTACCGGTTGTTTTATGATTGTCGTGGCAGTGCAAATTGCAGTAGAAAGCACTGCGCATTTTATGTTTATATTTGGACATAAAAAATCCGATAGTCTGAATTTTAGCCAGACATGGTGTGATGTGCATTGATCTCAATGCAAAGATAAAGTTATTTAAAAAAGTGCCAGTTATTGATATTGCTAAAAAGCAATATTTATTATTTTATATTTCTAAGTTATGTCATTAAAAAGACTAATGCACTTCGCTATCTAGCAAATTTCAAGCACATAAAGACGTTCCTTTAAAATCTCACATAAACACTTCAAACACTTTCAGTTATAAGTTTAAATATCAATCATTTAAAAAGAAAAAAGTTCGCACTGCATATCGATTAACACGTATCAATTATAGCAATAAACAATAATTTTTTATGCCTGTTCAATGTAACATGTCGGTAATATATCGACTTGTAGTCAAAATTAGATGCTTCATGTTCATTTTCAAATAATAGAATTTCTCTACGTTCAAGATCACTTATTAAATAAAACTTGAAATACATTTCATTATTTATACGCAGTTGCATATTTTTAGATATGAAGGAAAACACAAATGTAATATTTTCATCTTTTTGATTTTGTAACTTAACCTGATTTTCTGATACTTAATTCCGCACTGTAAATTTCGATCAAATCTTTTATAGTTTTAAAACAGAATAAATGTATATAGATTTACAAAAGATACGTTAAAATTTAACATTTTTCTTCAAATTGATTTTCACATAAGAGAATCACATAGAGTTCATTGTCTTGTTATTTAAATTTGCAACATAACATAGCAAAATTGTAATCACAATGACGAAAGTGAGCATTTTACACTCCCGATAGCCGATTAATGAAATTTGATTTATGAAACCAGAATGTATTTAATGAACTTGGTTGACGTCAGCGTGATGGTACACCGACATCGGCGGATCGAATTCGAAGAAGATCGGCACGAAGCATCAGCGGCATGCGTATGGCTGACGATTCGGCAGGTCGCCACATTACTGGTGATCGTTCTCGTGACAATGGTGTTGGAATTGGACAATCATTCACACGATGTGGTGCAGGAGTCAAAGAACCTGGAGGTGCACGATAATATTTATGACCACCAAGTGTTACAATTTGTCCCTGATCTGAAATGTTTGGTATGTCTTTAATTGTTGATTTTGTCTTAAGTTTTGTCACTGGCTGTGGTATTCTTAATGGATGTATGTCCATTTTCTTTCCTCCGCTCAGATCTAGAATATCTCTTGATTCTTGATCCCTTTTCCGTTTAGTAGGAAGTGCTTGTCGTTGCTGATCACGTTCTGGTTGTTTGGTTTGCCTTGGTTTTAATGGTGCAGGCATCCTTATTTGTCCTGCTTTTAATGCCTTTAGTACTCGTGGATCGACAGATCTATCATTTAAAGTAATGCTTGGACTTACTTTTCCCAGAGTATTCTTTCGATTATCTTTGGAATCATTTGGTTCAATAGATCCACTACTATTTCCAGGTGATTTTGGTGCTGTTAGAGTTATACTAAGACTTGCAGGAATGTTTAATCCACAACCATCTAATATATTTCTTGTATCATTCGAAAGTATTGGACTTGAGGAAGGTTTTGAACTTGATGTTGTGAGTGTTCGACTAGGTCCAGCTTCTGCAATTATATTTCCCGGTCTTTTTGCTGAAATAACATGTTCCGTTGTTAATTTTCGAGGTGATTTCGTATTATTTTGCATAACAGGAGACGGATGTACATGAGTTTGCTTTTTTGAGATATGAGTTTGAATCTGTTGTTTCTTTCTTCTGATATCAAAGATTGGTAAACCTGGTGGACATTTTCTTTTCACTGCTCCCGCGGGAACTATAGGTGGATCATTAGAAAAAGTGTATACATCCACTTTTGCAGGATTATTATTAATGCTGATGTTCATACTTGGATTTGTACTTTTTGAGTAACCAAACGTGCAAGTATCTATATCATTGCATTGTTTATTCGTGTTCATTCGCGCATTGTTACTAATTCCACTCATTGGTTTACTTACATTCGAAATATTTCCACTTGCATTTACACTAATATTTTCATTATTACTTTTATTCTTTGAATTATTTATATTATTTGAAGTTTCTGTTGCGTTATCATCTTCTTTTTTCGGAGTGACGTTATCTTTGTTTTGTGTATCATTAATCTCATCTTTCATATTTAATTCGTTAGAGGAAGATTCTAATTTTATTTCGGATCCTGTCTCTCTAGCTGTCAGCTGAAAACTTTGAAGGAATTGTTTTTTTTCTTGCTGTTCTCCTGGTTTTTTCTGTATACTTTTTAAAGTATTGCCATTAGTATTGTTGGTAGTACTAATAGTTTTCTCAGGAGTCAATCGTTCCATAAAAGTTACTCTTCTTCTTTGTTCTTCTTGTTTTTCTATTTGACGTTTCTCTCTGTTCCTCTGTAACTGTTGAATAAGTAACGCCTCAGAACTATCTTTGTCTACTTGGCCACAATGTAATAATACATTACTGATAACTTTCGGCTTGTTTGGACTTGTATTGTTTGGTGAACATTGTTTTAAAGTAATCTTCACTCCATTTGAATTCTGTCCGTTTCCTATACTTACAACACTAAATTCTGGATTTGAAGATTTTGTTTCAATATTTGTAATGCTTTGTTCTTTCGAATTCCAACTTCCTGGCGGACTTCTCAAAACTTCATATCTTCCATCTGAGTTCTTGAGTATTTTTATAGGTGTTTTAATTTGTTTATTTTCACTATTCGATGTGGATGAGACATTATTTGTATTAGTAGTTGTCGTTGCCGATGAAACAACTGTGTTGGTAGCTGTCGTTGTTGACGTAATATTCGTCGATGCTATGGAAACTATCGTTGATGTCGTGGTTGTCGATGTTACTACACTACTTATAAGTTGATCTTCTTTAATAGTTATTTTATGGTTATCAATAGTCTCGTTTGTAGATATTTGTTCACTTGGAGAACGCGATTTTTCATTCGAAATTTCATTTTGATTGTCCAACGTGGTTTTTTCATCGGTATCCTTTATAGATTTTGTTTCCGATTTGGATTCTATATCATTCTCAGGATTTTCCGAATTAATGTTGTTCTGTATAGCAATAGTGGTGTCGACTGGAGGAAAACTGGCGCCCAAACCTGGTGTAGAAGGCCTGTCGTGAGGAGGTGCCTCTAATCTTTGCTCTTCTAATGCAACTCGGTAAAAAAATCGCATTGGTGCATTCTAAAAATAGAATTTTTAAACATCAAATGATAAAAGAAACACATTTAAAACATTTCATAAGAAGAATAGACAATACTTTACCCTTTTCCATGCGTAAATATAAGCGACATCCATTAGGGTCCAATGTTCCGGAAGTGGAGCACGTCGATGACAAATTTCGATCGTGTACCTTGTCATATCGACATTGTATTTCGAAGCTAAGAATTTTTTTAAATGCGCAATAGTTACCAGTGCTGGACATTGAAGGTATCGCCTACTCGTTGTATTTGTGCTATGATTGTTAGCATTATTGCTATAACCATTATTACTACCATTGTTACTGTTATTATTTTGATTATTAGATGCGTTAGAATTGTTGGTATCATCGTTGGTGCTAAGTAAAATGCTCATAGGATCGGCTCCGGGCGGTAAATATTCCAAGCTTAAACTAACAGCATCTTCTGGAGCGAAAATTAATCTTCCGCTAACATCTTCTCCACGTTGTTCTGGAGTCGCTAAATCCGCTATATATAAAATATATGCGTCGAAATAATTGTTATGAAAAATACAATCAAATTAAAAGATAGATAATAATTTTGAATAGTTTTACCATGCTCCGGATGTTTTTTGTAAAACTCTCTTCTTTTTCGCATCTCTTTGTGATATAATCCTGGAACCAATTTGTATACGATATCTTGCAATGCCTTATCAGCTCTGAAAATAAGTTTTTTAAATAATTTCCCATTTCGAAGAACTTAAAATTTCTAGATCTTGTAAACTTCTAGATCGACTAACGAAACTTACTTGATATTCGGTTTGGCTTTGTTGAGAACATGTTTACAAGAAGGACAATGAGCTTCTGTGTTGAGATGCTTGAGAATACAGCTTCTGCAAACTGAGCAGCAAAAAAGCAATATATTATTTCTGTTCCGCGGAATATAATTCAAATTTGATTTAATTTACTTACACGAATGCAAACATTCGACAACAGTGGTTGCATCTATAAGATATCCTCTGCATAAAGGACAAATAAGATAGGGATTTACCTCTCGGAGGTAAGTCCTTTTACCTATTCCCGACATTTTTCTTATTCTTAATTGTCGGTGATAATGTCTGTAACGATAAACACGATTCCATGTAATATCTCCAATGGAAAGCTGTAACGTCAAAAAAATCAATCTTAGTATCAATGAAAATTTTTATTTCTTGTTAAAGCATTAAGAGAGATAATAAGAGTAAATAAAAGTCGTAAGTAAAATAAAAGTCGTCATATGAAGCGTAAAGAAATATAGGTATAATGTTTTCATTATCAAAATGCATCTCGCGTATCCCTTTCCGTGCTTTGATCGACAAAACAAACAGATTAGAATTCTAAATGCGTTTGATTATTTATCATATGTGGTACTTTTATGAAAAGCAGCTGTCTCATCCATGCGCGACGATAACGAGATACGCGACGATAATTCGCAAGTTTCGCAGATAAATCGCATGACATAGGAAACGGTTAGGCCGAGTCATGGTGTTTAGCCCACTTTCCCGAAGGTTTCTCAGGTAGCTAGAATCCCGTTGCCTCGTTCTCGGGCCCCCCTCCATCCGATTTCAACCACCCGTAGGTATACGGGTGCGTTTTATCCTCGTATTCTCCCTGCCTGAAATTGTCCTTTCCGTTTTTCCACTCGCCTAGCATGGTGAAATCGTGGATGGCAGCCCTTAGTCTGCGAACGAAACGCGTATGCATCCATGTACCCGCCAAATATCTGCCCATATATCGCGGAATTTTGCAGAGAGCCAACGATAAGTCAGTAAACGGTGCCGTTATCGCTGCCAAGAATTAACTCTACTCGTTTCGAGATCGTTCTATGAATTCTAAGTGTTTCGATTGATCTGAGAGCACGTGTACGAACGAGATATCGACAACGATACGGTGCATCGAAATATGGAGAAGTGAATATGGATGGAAAATTACATTCAATTTCTAATGTCATTTGCTACGAATCTACATACGTTAACGTTGTTTCGTGCTATCAACAGACACTAACGGAAACTAAAGGAGATTCTTGCTCGAATTTCTGTTACGAGGTTTCTCCCGCTTTATCTCGCTCGTTGCTATATCTTCGAGATTCTGCTCGTAAGTTCTCATTCGATCGTTTGCGTCCGTTTGCTTGGACACTTTCCTCCGAGTGCAGCACATGTCGCGAATGCAGGGACGCGTCAAAGTAAAGGCCTGTACACAACTAAGAGTAGATAAGAATAATCTTCGAAACGAGAAGATATTGAGAAGATATTCTTCGAATCTCGAATGACGATGATGCATTTGTTAGGGAACCTAACAGATTAGAAGATCTAGGTGAGCATCGAATTCAATTATCGCGATGGAAATTAACTAGAATTATTTACATATCGAATCGGCTAACTTTAGGTACACACCACACGTTCTGCAATTCTAGTACTTCGTCTATTTATATCGAGCTGGTCGTAAGAAGAAGCAAAATTCTCAAACGAAATTGTGACAAGCGATAGAAAGAGAGATCACTTCGAATCAATCGTGAAATCGTGCAAATTCTCATAATATTGAAATAGTTATACTAATATTAGATTAGTTATCATCAAGTGTTGTTTCAAAAAGACTTATTTTAAAAAATCAAGTAATTTTTGTTACTTTTCTTCATATAAATTTTATCAATTGCATCAGCAAGTTAGAAAGAATATAATAACGAGAAAGCTTTGTTAAGAGAACGTTCTTTCAATGGAGTTTACACGAACATGCCCTCATTTTTGAACGTCTCATTTTCTTTCGCGAAACTTTAGTCGTCTTATCGCGCGTTACAGATTAGACCCCCAGCTGCTTTCTGATCCCTCGACCATCGCTTCTATACGCTTGTACCCCGAGAAAAGAGAGTAGGGAGACGTCGACCCTACTGGACGGAAGACCACGATTCGAAGTAACCTAGCGACGGTCTACAAAAATCGCAAAAGAAAGGCATTCAATCGTCCAGCTTGTCTTACGACCGTTGTCCAGGAAAAAAGTATTCTTTCCTCTCCAAATGTTCGAGGTTCGCGAACATTCGTTTCTCTTTGTAAAATTTATTTCCAGACGCGGTAAAATCGAAAATGATTAGGTAATCGCATTCTTTTCAACGATTTGTCAGCATAGTTTCTTCGATATAGTTGTTAAGCGACGATAAGAAATTTTTAATTAATAAGCTGAAATCGCCGAATAAAGCGCCGACGATAGGCTTTCGAACTTGATCTCATCCATCGAAAGGAATTTCCCGCCTATTGTTTGTTCCGTTGCTTTCGTATTCCATGTTTCACAGCGATCTGGTTGTTGAGACGGCCAGCTGATTAATCAGTAGAGACACGTTTCCTTGCATATCGTAGGCAACGGAGGGGTTTGCACGATCGCGAGCGCGAACATTCCGCGACGAAAGCGGCAAAACGAGTTTTTTTTTTCAGTGGAAAGCTTTCGATGTGCTACCTTCGATTTCGGACAATAACTGTTAGATTTCGCGTTCTAAAAAGCGATTATCCTCGCAGAAAAACTGAACGACCGATACTCATGCTCTCTGTGAGAAACCGGCCGTGTTCCCAGTCGATGTTTATTCCATCGTCGCGCGTATCGCGAACGCATACCGAGCGATTTCGTCGAGGACGAAAGAGGAGGCAGCGCGAATATGAGAAAACGCATAAATACACGAGTGCCGCGTACGAGAATAAGACGACGCGTGTAAGTTGGAGAAAGAGGGAATATGAGCAAGAGGATAGATCGAGGAGAGGGGCAAACGGGTAGTAACGAGAGAAAGAGGGAGAGAGAGTGAGAGCGGGACAGAAAAGAAGAAGGGAGGGAGAAAAAGATGGAGGAAACCGCTCTCTCCGTCTTACTCTCCCTTTTTCTTTCTTCTCCCTTGCTCTTTCTTGCCCTCTTCCCCTCCCTGTTTCTCGCTGTTGTTTCTCAGCATTCAACCGGCGAGTAGGTTTACATGTACACAAGTGTATTCGCTGGAAAGCGCTATATTGGGTGATAGAGTGTGCGTGCGTGTACTTACGTGCGAGCATGCGAACCGTACGTGCGGCTACACGCATACGAGAGTGGCTAACGCTATCCTCTATGGTAGTAGAGCATACTGGCCGCGTACGTACACAAAGCGATGCCGTATCGTTCGTGCTCCAATGATATTGTAGAGGAAATGCGAGGTCGCTACAGTATTCGGGTTCGGGTTCAAACTCGAAGTCCTCCCTCTTGCGAAATCGAGATGAGGGCTGTCCAGACAACAGTGACGTCGCGTGCTCGATGTATACGCGATTTCGTGACGTACAACCAGCTTCCCTGGCATTCGAGTAAACCCGACGGGATTTACTTTCACCTTACCGCCGACTGTGCACTAAGCTCTGAAATTACGCTACGGCCTGGCAAGACTCGTTAAAAAGAAATTATAATACGAGCTCAAAAATCACAACAACGACAATTATCGTGACAACGATGACGACGACGACGACGACGACGATGAATACACGGTTAGACAGGAATACGATGAGTCCGTACAATGGCGCCACGGAATACTGTGCGGCGTTTTATGGAACTAAACCACGGAAATGAACGACATCGGCCATAAAACGATCGTAGCAACACACGAAATACCGAACAGTACGGCGACTCACGCCAAACTAAACTGAAACCCCGAGTGGGATATGCCCTTTCCCCTCTTTCCCCTCCCTCTGGCAGTCCCTGCATCCCTTTGCCGCGCGCCCCTTTTGCGCTCCATGTTCACCCCCTCCATAGTCTTTCTCTCCTGTCCTCCAGGCTTTACACACTCCTCGCTACGCCTGTCGTTTCGTTTTACTCCTCTCTTCGCTTCTCTTCTCTTCTCTTCCCTTCTCTTCTGTTCTCTTCTCTTCTCTCTCTTCTCTCCCTTCGCGTTCTCTCTCTTTGTCTCTCTTCCTAATTCCGACTCTTTCTTGCCCCTTCGAGCACCGTATCTTTACTCGACTGTTCGCTTGACTAGCCTGCCTAGTCTGCCTGGCTGCCAGCCTGGCTTACCCGAGTTGTCTGCCTTGCCTGCTCGCCTGCCTGCCTGCCTCGCTGCCTGTACGAGTCGTTTTTCTCTCCATTCCTCTATGCGCGCTTCTGGCCACCCCTCCTCTCTCTGCCGAGTGGTACGTACCGACACTAGTGTACTACACGGAACACACGAACGAGCGACTACTCCCCCTTCACCCTATCGAGGATCACGCCGCGTTACCAGCCGGGTTACGAGCTCCCCTCTATTCGTGCGCCGATACCTCACCCTTTTCGAGCTACCCCTCTCTTCGTGCATTACGTTTCGTCCTCTCTTTCTTTCTCTGCTTCTCTGATTATTCTCTTTCGTCTCTCTGTGAACGTAGAAACGACCCTCTAACTCGAGCTCTGATCCTTCGTCTTCTTCTTCTTTGATCGCTCTTCTATCTCGTAACCTCCAATTATATCATGCTAGCAACGGAAATCGGTATTTTCAGATTGCAACTAGATGAATTTCCGCGTATGTTTGAATAAATGCGGAATAAACCCGTTTACGTTGAAAAACCAGTGTTGACTGGTGCTTTATCGCGAAACAAGCAACGTATGGTCCTTTGATCGGCAATAAAATCAGGTAAAATTACGAGGAAACCCGATAAACTTTTATTACGAATTTTAATTTCATATGTATTTATATCGCAAATACTACATTTTTTCAATTTCAAATATTCAACATTCCTCTTCTTTTAGATTTTACTTCTTGAATTTTATTACGTAACGTAGATTGACAATTCTGCAAGAAATGTTTATCGTTTTCCTTGATGCTTTTCTCTATATAAAAATTCAATATGTATTACATAAGCTATCAAAGGAACAATCAAGATAATATTTGTCACAATTCAAAAGAATGATTGTAAATGGCAAGTGAATCAAAAATTTTTATTCATTTTGGTATCGTATTTCAAATAAGAACTTCGTGTTTTATCCGAAGTACGAAGATCTCAGCTTAGTTTATCGAAAGATCAAAAATGCCATTTAATGTTAAAAATATAATTATTTGCAATTAATCTTTGATAGATCAATACCGGAGAAAACAATAGATCTATAAATCTACATAAAAAATCGGCTTATAGTTTGTAGTAGCGACGTAGCAAACGGCAAAAATACAAGCGTATATCGCCAGCATTATCATTTCGCATTAATCGAAGTTAAAAATTTCATAGTATACTAACATTTAGCGATATAACTTGCGTATCAATTTCATTTTGTCCACATGTATTTGTAAGAATCTGAATAATCGCACTCCGATAATATTTCCTGTTCCCTAAACTCCGCCATTTTGGTCCCTACCGAAAACAAGCGGCGACATGACGGAACGGTGTATCTAATCTAGACTCTACTAACGTTGCGCAACATTTAATCATACCTACATCCGTTTTACTTCTTATCAACTGCAAATGTCGGCTGACCTCTGTTACTGAATATCCATTTAGATGCAACTTTTTAGTTCTAAGCGAAACACTCCATTACTTTTATTTTCGACTCATTCTGCTTAAACATGGTAACGTGAAAACATACAAAGTTATAGGCACGATACGAGAAGTTTAGCTTCCGATTTTCGTTACAGAGATTCGAAGTTAGACGCGAGATAACGGTATTTAGCTTGATCCGACAAGTTCGTTCTTTGCTTATTTTCTGTCCCGAACGGATCGACATTTTCGTAATGAACATCGAAATTATATCGAAAGCCGAGAACGGGAACGGGCGCAAGAAGAAAAATCATTGCAGATACGCGAAAATACATTGCATTCGCATCTGCGTACCTAAGTGTCCGAATGCGAGTCTTCGTGTGCAAGTACAGCGTACAGATCTCCGTGACGTGCACCCGCTCGCTATTTGCACGTACGGCGCGCTTGCGCTGTCGAATAATCTTTCAATCCGCCAACGCTTTCCTCTGACCGGAGACACGTAAAGCTCCCGATTCTCAAGATTATTATTAGAAATCTAGTGGAATCGGCATTGGAAATATCGTTTCCAGAGCAACGCAATTCTGTCGGCTGAAAGTCGATGATGATGTCGGAACGGAAGAGATGCCGTTTCAATATCGGACGAATTATCAACGCTTACGTTACGATAAATAATACGTGGTTGAATATTTAATAAAGAACACGAGTTAACAATTAATCTTGTACAATGAGCACAAAAGACTCGAGAATTCGGGCAGTTAATCTGAATGGGAACCAAAATGGCGGTAATACATTGCATTATAGCCAGTCGATAAGTCTGTTTCGTAGGTTACGAACAGGAGAACCAATCGTTTCGAAAGTTTGAAACGTATGCACGATATTACAATAGTGTCAGCAGAGTCTTTGTCTCGTATTGAATATACCGTGACAATTAATTTCTCCGGTGTATAACGAATGTATTCGCGTTCTTGCATGATGCAGTTACATCAGGTCGCTAAAATCCTGGTTATAGATGAAAAAAATCTAACCGAACAGGCACGTGCACCGTGTCTAAATTCGTAAGGAGACGGAGATTCGGGAAATTCGCAAGGTGAATTGAATTTTAGCGAAAGACGAAAAACCGATGACGAATCTCGATTGAGAAATATTAATTACGGGCGTTTTTAATTACACCAGTCAGCTATGAGGCAACTAACAGCATACTCCCACCACGGTAATCGACCTTCCAATCCTGACACTCCCTGGGTGTACTTTAAGAACCGTTCCCCCTTCTACCGGTTCCCGAACAGTTGGAGGATGCCGACAAAAATATTCGCATGGTGCGTGTACGTTCCCTTCCCCTCGAACCCTCGAGCCCTGCAGATCTCCCCTCTAGCATACATCGCTTGAAAACACCGACCGTAGGCTTCCTCCCGAAGCTTTCTCTGGAAGGATCCCTTGGAGGGCTATCCCCACCAGGAGGGCTTGGACGGATGGTCGGTCGTTTAGCTGTGGAACGCGGCTGGAATCACGAGCGAATGAGACGCCGCTAGATGGGCTCCGCAGCTATCTCTTCCTTTAGTCCTTTCTCCGTTTCCTCGGCTCGTTCTTTGTCCACCGTTCCGCGAATCGTTCCCTTCTCGGTGTATAGAACCTGTAGGTGATACGTGGGCGGCCCGATCCCAACATTCGGTCGGAGGATATATTGGTATACGTGCAGGATCTCCAGTGAGTCTGCGCCGCGTTATCGGTCGATATACGCTTTTGGGAAACCTTCCACGTGTTTTGTGGAGCCGCGTGAGGCCGATTCTCCGTTGCTTGCCTCCTGCTACTCCACCTATTTGCGTGTAGCGATCGAAGACGAGTCATTAAGGTTGTGCCACTCCCTCGTAAAACATTTCGAACTAATTTATCGAATTCAGATTTCCCCTTTCACGAAAACGAAACCGTTTATCTATATTTTAAATGTATGTATCGTTGTTTCGTGTTGTATCGTAGCGGCAAAAAATCGCTAGAGGTATAGCAATGGCGATTTTTTGACAGAACAATCATCATCAGAGAATCATCGATGATTCTCGATTACCGATCCTGAGAGATGATAGGTAATAATTGTGACGGAGGTCAAAACAAATTGATCATCGGAAGCATTAATATATGTAGATTTAAGTTGGTGGTAGGTGCCAGCCGGAACGGCGGCATCCTACGATCGCCTACGTGCAATCCTGTCGCAGACGGCCACGCCGTTTCGATAAACGGCCTACAAAGCCTTCGGAGGGGACGGGCCGATGCTTACATTCCCTGGAGCCCCTCCTGACATCGGCTGTACGTGGGTACATTATTCATTCTCTACTACATTCGGCAGCAGGAGGGTGCGGATGAGTGTGTGCGTATCCCTCGTAGCCGATGACACGACATGCACTTGCGTCCCTTTTATATGTGTAAGTTCATGTAGGTACGCGTACCTTTTCTCTCTTTTTCAATACCTTCCTCTTTCTCTATCCCACCCTTCCCTTTCCACTCTCGCTCTCCCTCCTTCTCTATCCTTTTCTACCTGTACGCCCATCCTTCTTTCGCTTTATTCACGTACGATTTATCGTCTCTCTCATCCTCTCCTCTTTTTTCCTTCTTCCTTTCTTTTTTTTGCTTTATCTATCTTCCCCTTCTTTTCCCTTTCTCCCTCTTTCTCTTACCCGCCTCCGTCCATCCACCCTTCGCCGGATATTTCCGTCTCTGTCTCTTTTCATCCTACACGTCCCTCTTCCTCGTGTTCGCGGTGTAAACGTGTACGTGCGTAAACAGAAGCCAGTAAAAGGATAGCACGGTGGGATGGAGGACGACAAGGGCAGGCCGCGTCGGAACGGGAGATTGTGGAGGGATCGAAGAGGTGGCGGCATTAGTGCGTACCGACCGGGGCAACGGGGTGCGAGAAGAAAAGAGGGAGACCGAAATCGGAAGAGTATCAGGGGGAAAGGGAGAGAAACGGATTATTAGAGAGAGAAGGGAATGGTTAGCGTGGTGGTCGATTGTACACGATGCGTTGGGACAGGGAGGGAACGTGGTCGGGTATAGAGGCACGATCCTCTTCGGGAACGAACCTTTCGCCTCGTGTATAAACGTCTCGCTTTAGGTAAGCTCACCCCTCTTCACTTCCGACGCTCGCAACGCACTTCCCTGG